CTTCTCTTCTCTTCTCTTCTCTTCTCTTCTCTTCTCTTCTCTTCTCTTCTCTCCTCTCCTCTCCTCTCCTCTCCTCTCCTCTCTTCTCCTCCCCTTCTCCTCTCCCCTCCCTCCCCTCCCCTCTCCACTTCTTTCCCCCCCAGAAATTGCTTAGGGCAGGGGTGTCAAACTCAAGGCCAGTGGGCTGGATCCGGCCCATGGGGAGTTTAGATCTGGCCCATGAGGCCGCCCTGGAAACAACAAAGGACTGGCCCTATAGATTTGAAACTGGAGTTCTTTTTATTGGGAATCTTACCAGATACATATAGTAAAGATTTGAAATATCTGATTGTAAATGTGTTAACAGCGGCTAGGATTGTATTTGCTAAAAACTGGAAGAATGAGAAAATACCATCACAGGAAGAAATTATTAAGAAAATATTGGAATGTGCTGAGATGAGTAGATTGACATTTGAAATTAGAGAGCAAGAGGATAAACAATTTTATGAAATTTGGGATCTTTTTTATCAGTGGCTAGATGACAAAATACGATAATAGAATATTTAGAAAGTTAGATAGCAAGGAATACATTTATTTTTTCTTTTGCCTATGTTATTTGACATTATATCTATAAAGTGTTTTTAGGATGATTATATGATTTGTTATAGAATAAACTGTTTAAAGTATTGTTATCTCATAAAGCATGAATGATTAAAAGTATAGTCAAATGATTTATTAATAGCGATATTAGGATATATAAGTTTGGATTGACAATATGAGTTGTTATGTAATATAACTAATTGAGACTACGAAATGAATGCACAAAACTGATGAACCAACCGACACACTGTACGTACATAAGAGAGTTGATGTTTTAATGTTTTGTTTGTCTTGTTTGTTTGTAGAAAATCAATAAAATTGTTTTTTAAAAAAACAAAAAACAAAGGACTGGCCCGTGGTGCCTCTGCCAGCAAAAATGGAGCTCAGGAGGGCCACATGCGTTTTCAGTTGCGACGGCCTCCTGCAGCTAGAAAAAATGGAGCTCGGG